GGGTTTTGGGGTTTAGGGTGTAGGCTTTACGGGTTTAGGGTTAGGGGTTTGGGGTTTAGGCGGTGACGATTAAGCTCTCTTTTAGGGCTCCATCGAGGGATCTATAATTGTTCCTACAGGGTTTCCATAAGGGTACTGCAAAGGTTCTATTTGGGTGGTTCTCCAAAAACAGGTTCCTTTTAGGGTCCTCTTGATAAGTGCTGTACTAAAACCTACACAACCCCTAATTTAGATAACCACCCATACGGTCGGAATAGAGGTCGGAATGGGGGAGGCCCCATGCTCCTTTACGACAATTCGGGTGCTGCCCCAGCATCACACGTACTCTTGGTTCTAGAGGGCTGTTATGGGCTTCTGCAGATCGGGTAGCTGTTCAATAACGAACATTGGGATGCTTTAAACTACGGTAAATACTAGGACACCTTCCCAGCTCTTCCAACATCTCTTACTTAAAGGAATATACCATACCTTTTAGTAGCAATATCTCTCAGTTAAAGGAATATAGCATAACTTTTAGCAGCATCTCTAATACGATTTAGGGTATATTCCTTAATCAAGGGCTTTTGGAAGATCTGAGTTCTCAACCGCCCTTGTAAGGTGGATCTTGATGCATACTTGGAGGTTCATGGGACTTAATAAGTACAGCTTTACGTACCGTAATTGGGACTGTAGGTAATTACAAGTATAGTTACCTTTTTTTTAACCCTAGTTATTCAGTCCCATGAACCTTTAAGTAAGGGCTTAAGGTCTGCACGTGGGCTCCTGCTCTCTGCAACTCTCAAACCAGACAGGGTTTAGGGTTTAGGGTGTATGTAGGGGAGTAGGGGTTTAGGGGCTTTAGGGGTTTAGGGGTTTAGGGTTTATAAGGGTTTAGGGCCCAGAATCCGTTTGAGGAATTGAAAACCGGACCACCCAAGGTGCCAGCCATTATTGGAAGCTTCGTACCTCCCTAGATCTCCGAGAATCCCTCATTTCAGGATTCAGATTAGGGATCCTACGGTCACTTTAGGTACATTACATTCCTAATAGGTAACGGATGTTCGAACAGCTGGGTCCCGATAAGGAACATGCGGCGACAACAATCAGGGTAAGATTCGCTGCTGAATTTGGTGGATATAGGGCGCGGGGTTTGGGGCGTCAGATTCCTGGGCTTGCCTGGAACATGGGGATTGTGGGGTTTAAGGCTTGGGCTGACACTGAGAGCATCAATGGCCCTGACTGTAGGGTTCCGGGTTCAGGGTTTTCGCCGCCAAATCCGTATGTGACATCTTAAAACAGCAAGGAAGGTTGGGTGTGCGTCCAATACCCTCTTGTGCATCTATCCAACCGATCTAACCGCCCCATAAGCAGACGTAGCAATACTCTCAGACCTCAAACCCCAGATCTTGCCTCTATCCTATCTCCTATGTCCCAAACCCTCATACAGCAAAAATCCTAACTACACACCACGGACCTAAACCCTAAACTCAAACCCGATGTAGCCTAAATCCCAAGTAAGCCCGACCTAAAGCCTGAAACCTCAGCCCCCAGACCCGAACCCGGAGCCCAATACACCTTAAATAAGGAATAGACCTTAAATTATAGGGGCCTTAACATTATGGTTTAAGGTATACCTTCAGAACCCAAGACCCATGACTTTTTTGTAGGTTCTTATATAATCCCTAATATGGGATTTATAGGGACCCTGCAAAAAAGTAGGTGTTGGGTTCTTAAGGTACTCCTTATAAACTAAAGGGGTATGGGGCTCTCTGGGAATTTGTGGTCGAAGGCGCAAGATCTGCTGATAGGAACTTGGCGAGGTAGGCCACGGGGGTGGCCTCCGGGTCGCACCTGGAGGTTCCATGGGCCAAATATAGGATTTAGGGTTTAGGGTTTAGGGCTTAGGGTTTAGGGCTTAGGGTTTAGGGTTTAGGGTTTAGGGTTTCGGGTTAGGGTTTGGGGTTTAGGGATTCGGGCTAACATAGGGTTTAGGGTTTAGTTGAAACGTGGGATAAGGATGATTTGTCAGGTGGTGGCAAAGCCTTTTTTGCTGTAAGGGCGTGGGGGGTAATGATGTACTGTAGCGGCCTTAATAATTAGAACAGGGTTTAGTCTCGATTATAATATTGTTGATAAGGAACCCTAAGGAATAATATTGGCAACTGATTGTTTAGGCAATTTAGGCTTCTGTATTACCAGCCTACTGGCTTCGACATTGCTTCTACAATTAGGATCTAGGGTTCACGGGGTAGGATTTGAGACTATAGGGGCTTGGACCTTCATGACTCCTATTATCATCAGCCCGGGATCAGCGTCTAGGTGTCTAAACCCTTTAACCCTACGGCCTAAACCCTAAACCCTAGAGCCTAAACCCTAAAGCCCAAAGCCTAAACCCTAGACCCTAAAGTCTAGACCCTAAAGCCTAAACCCTAGACCCTCAACCCTAAACCTTAAACCCACAAACCCGAAATGCTGGCCTCCGGCTCCGAGATGTTTTACCTCCAGCTCCAAATAGCCCAAAGTAGGTACTATTTGCAGACTTTAGACCCCAAAGCAGGTACTATTTGTGTACTTGGAGCCCTAGGGTTTTACCTCCTGGTATCGCAACACGGACTCCGGAAGTCTCCTCCATCGCTCCTCTGCGGTACTTGCAGGTTCATGGGACCTAATGGTAACCGCTTAATAATGGGGTTTAGGGATCTAGGGTTTAGGGTGTAGGGATTTAGGGTTTAGGGTTTGCTTGGAGGTTCATGGGACTGAATAAGTACAGTTATAAGTGCCTTGATTCGGGGTTAGAAGTGATTAGAAGTATAGTTACCTTATTTAAAACCCTAGTGACTAAGTCCCATGAGCCTTTTCGTATCACCGAGCAGGGGCAGAATACGAAGGTCTCGGTGCTCCTGCTCCTCCCTCGGAGGCGGCTCCATCCGTGCCAGAGGGATTCCTAGCATCCCGGAAATCAGGACCAGAGAACCCAATACCCCTTATAATCAAGGAATACACCTTAAGTTATAGGGGCCTTAATATTATGATTTGATTAGGTATCTTCCTTATTTAAGGGGTATTGGGTTCTCTGGGAGTTCTCCCGGCTCGCCAAGCTGAACACATGCCCCAGCAGCTGTAGCTCCGATTCTGGTGCTGCATTCTGGCTGGATTGGAGCAGCTAACGTAGCTCCGGATGGGCGACCGCGTCTTCTTTCGCAACGACTATATAGGGTACTAGCCCCTGGGGCCCTATATAGTAGGTACCTGGAGAGTTAGGGTTTAGGGTTTAGGGTTTAGGGTTCAGGGTTTAGGGTTTAGGGTGCCATGTTCAGCGTGCTCGGCCAGAACAGGGTCTCGGGGGTCTACGCAGGTCTGGGCATGCTGGGGGTAAGTAGTCGCGGGGAAGAAATGGGAGTTTCCGAAATAGGGGGTACGTTATTTTGGGGGTCCTTATAATAAGTATCCTACCATATAAGGTACTATAATAGGGTCCCCTATTTTCGGAAACCCCCAAATGAACTGCAAAGCGAAGCAGACAGCATCAGCGGTTCGCCTGCATCAGAGCTTTTATGTGACACTTTGACTTCGACCCTAAACCCTAAACCCTAAACCCTAATTGCTTGTTCACGGGACTGGGAACGCACAAAATCGAAATAGCTGAATAACTGCTAGCTGCATAGCTGCAGCTTCCATGGTCAGGGTTTAGGGTTTAGGGTTTCGGGTTTAGGGTTTAGGGTTTAGGGTTTAGGGCCATAGCCCTCAATCGACATACTAGCGAAGAGTAGGCACCTTAATCTTTGGGTGCAGGGCACGGCAAGCGGAGCTGGGGTTTAGTCCTTCGGCTTTAGGGTTTAACGGTTTAGAGTTTAGGGTCAGTTTGTTCCAGGTGTTTGCTCTGTTCGGGGCACACATTTAGACAAAACTGTAAAACACCATGTGTGCCTCAAAAGGAGACGTCGGTTCGGGTTTAGGGTTTAGGGTAGGACAGGTCTTGCGACTCGCTTGTCCTGCCTAGCTTTACGGCGAACCCATACGTTTGCTCCCAAACTCCCAACCCCTAGCCCCCAGACTCTCAACCCCTCAGCAGAAACGCTCAAACTGCCGAAACTCTGACCATGTCCTCCAGAGACCGAAACAGTCCTAAGTACTTTGTGGTGATACTTACCCGAAGAATGAAAGCTATTCCTAGTATAGAAACCCGACTGTCTGCTATGTAGGTACTTATGCCTATAAACCCTAAACCCTTATAGTACAGTTAAAGAAAGCCTGAAAGTACCCGGTGCTTAGGCCCAGGACCCTAGTGGAGTGAAATGGCGCTGCAGACGCCCCGTGTCGCGCCGGGGCACTTTTGGAGGCCGTCGGCAATTTCGTTCGCGAGCGGTTTTGGGGCGAACCACTTGGGACAAAGAACCGGCCTTGGATTTATGGGCGTTTGAAGGGCTTAGAGTGTAGGGATTTTGCAAATCCGACCTTCTGAGGGATTTCATTTTTCTTATTCGCGGAGGGGCATCAACCATCACAGGTCTACGGCAAGCTCCTTAGCCCACTTGACGAAGTATCTCATTTTCGGGCATCGCACTCCGGGGGCCTATGCACTCCCCTGTAGCATGCGTCCAATGTTCTCCTATAGTCACTCACTATATTTCAGGTACCAGATACCTGGTCTCCGGGAAACTCATGGATCAGGGTTTGGCAGAGTTCGACGTGTGTCCCTGAGCCGACTCAAGCCCAACAAAAATGATGCGCAGCCCGGCCCTAAACCCTAAACCCTAAACCCCTAAACCCCGAAACCCTAAACCCTAAACATCTCAATCTCAAACCCCCCGCAGCCTGAACTTCGAAACCCCGAGACCCGAAACCGCCAATTCCTAATGCTCGAAACCCGCTAAGCCGAAACCCGTCAACCTGTTATAACTCCTAGACGCCTACCGTAATTCTCCAAACACTACTGTAGACCCTTGATTAACAAACAGGTTTCCCTTAATAAGGATTATACACGTAACAAGGGGTACTAAATGATATTCAGGCCTTTGAATCCAAAATTGCGCCCCATGGGAAACTCCCACAGGTTTCGAACTCTCAAAGACGTCAAGGTACGCAATAGCCAAAAGCCTTTTATACATATATATATATATATATAGAGAGAGATATAGATAGTACAGTATATGGTCTTTGGGCCCACAAGCCTTAGCAACATGAGTCCTTAGAGCCTAAAAGAAAGAGTCAAAGACGTCGAGGTACAATCCTAAACTCTAACCCAGAGGGTCCATATACACTACCATTATGGAATTATAAGTCCCTAAAGACCATCCTTGTTATGGTTTTGGGGACCTAATTCCATCATAATAGTGTACATGGACCCTCTTGCCGAACCCTATACTAAACCCCAAACCCTGAACCCTGAAGCCTGAACCCAAAACCATAAACCCCAAACCCTAAAACCCTAAACCATGAACCCTAAACCCTAAAACCTGAACCCTAAACCCTAAACCCTAAACCCTAAAACCCTGAACCCTAATCCCTACATACCCTAAACTCTGAAACCCTAAACCCTGAACCCAAAACCCTCCAAACCCTAAACCCTGAACCCTAAACCCTAAACCTGAACCCTAAACCCTAAACCCCTGAACCCTAAAACCCTAAACCCTAAATACCCTAAACCCTAAAGCCCTAAACCCTGAATAAAAAACCCTCAACCCTGAAACCCTGAACCCTAAACCCTGAACCCTAAACCCTAAAACCTGAACCCTAAACCCTAAACCCTAAACCCTGAACCCTAAACCCTAAACTGCCCTAAACCCTAAAACCCCAAACCCTCGGCGTCGAGGTGCAATCGATGCGGCGCCGCATCGACCGGGCTGGGCAGATGGCTCGTTGCCTTGGTCCGGCGGTGATGTAGGGGCCGTCATGATCAAAATAGGGTTTTGGGGCTTTGGTTTCTGTAGGGGCTTTCACAAGTAAAATAGGGTTTTGGGGTTTAGGTTTCCTTTAACAGGGGTCTATAAGGGTTACTATAAGGGTTCTATAATATAGGGGCCTTCATAATTCGAATAGGGTTTTGGGGATTCCTTTTTAAGGGTTCCTTAAACGGTTCTATAAGGGCTACTATAAGGGTTCTGGATTTAGGGGCCTTAATAAATAGAATAGGGTTTCGGGGCCCATTATACTAGAATCATAATAAAGAACCCCCCAAAATACTATAGGCAACTATTCAGGCCCTTATATTACATTCCTAAACCACGTGGAGCCTCCAATCTTGCATGGCTGAGCAAAGGGCTGCAACATTTTGGGGGGCTCTAAGGAAAGGAATCTAAGTTGGTACAACAGGCATCTATAGTCTGCAGTGAACCCTTGAGGGTCTAGTAGTAGCAGCCGTAGCCGCAACCACTACAACAACGACTGCTACGTACTGTGACTGCTGCGGCCACATCGGCCGGGACTCTCCTCGGGACAAGGACCAGGACCAGGAGTTCGAATACGAAATCTGCTACTCGCAGAGTGCCATTGCTCGCAATAGTTAATGTAGGGGCCCATTATACTATAATTATACTAAGGAACCCCCAAGACAGTATAGGTTATTCAGGCCCCAATAGGTAGTAGCCAGACGCAAGGCTGCTGACTGAATGTGCTTGCTGTGCCCTGGCCGGCCTGATGGCACCTTCGCTCAATGGGCGAAATGCCGGAACATTGACGAAGTCGGCAGCCGAGACAGGCCCTTAGCAGCCAATCAGGTCAAAGCTTAGGGTTTAGGGTTTAGAATCATCATCATCATGGTAGACATGGTGGCCCTATGTAACTGTGATGCAAGCTGCGACAGAAACCGGTTGAAATCATGAAGGACTCTATAGTAGACCCTAGGCAAGCCTCAAGCCTCCACATTCATCGCTCTGATACCCACCCCAAGTGTCACTGCCTCTCAACCCTAAACCCTCATAAACCCTAAACCCTAAACCCCAACCCCAAGTGTCACTGCCCCTGAACCCTAAACCCTCAACCCTCATAGGAATCGACACTGCCGATGGGACACGGCTTGCAGAGCTTGCGCTGGAGGACACAGAGCGGGGTCTCGGCCCTGACAGAGACGTACGATTTTTGCAACACGGCTTAGGGTTTAGGGGTTTCGGGTTTGGGGTTTCGGGTTTGGGGTTTAGGGGTTTAGGGTTTAGGGGTTTCGGGTTTGGGGTTTAGGGGTTTAAGGTTTAGGGTTTAGGGGTTTAAGGTTTAGGGGCTTCGGGTTTGGGGTTTAGGGATTTAGGGTTTAGGGTTTAGAGTTTAGGGGTTTAGGGTTTAGGGTTTTGGCGGCAAGACCTGTAAACCCTTGAAGCCGAAACCGTTGAATTAAACACCTTCAGGGTATAAGGCTTGGGACACTGAGGGCTTGGCGAGTGTCAAGAACTCGTGAAAGCTGATACAAAAGCTGCAGCACCGCTGCAACCCTAAACTCCAAATTTTAATACCCCAAACCCTCAACCTCAACCCTAACCCTAAACTCCAAACCCTCAACGCTAACCCTACACCCTACAATAAGCCCTAAACCCTAAAATCCCCAAACCCTCAACCCTCACCCTAAACCCCAAACCCTCAACCCTAAACCCTATAGTAAGCCCTAAAAACCCTAAAACCCCAAGTCCTCATTCCTCCACCCTTATAAGTCGATCAGGGACTTCTCCTCAGAGACTCCAATATCCCTAAATTAAGGAATATTCCTTAAATTATAGTAGGATCCTTAAATCTCATTTAAGGTATATTCCTTAATTAAGGGATATTGGAGTCTCCGGGAACTTGTTCAGTAAACCCTAAACCCTAAACACCTAAACCCTAAACCCCAAACCCTCTCTCTTACGCGCCTGGGATCATCTCCATCTCCTGCGAGGCGAATCGCAGCCCGCGCTGCGCGAAGGTGCGCTCCGTGCCTTCCGGGCCGGTTTATACTTGGAGGTTCATGGTAGTTATAAGCCAATTATAACTATAATTCCAACCCAATTATAACCTGGGTAAGTGTCTTTAGGGTCCGGGGTTTTCTAGGGTTTAGGGTTCAGGGGGTTTGGGTTTTGGCGTTTGGGGATGTCCTGAAATGGTTGCTTCAGGGCTTCCCTTTCAGCGCTCCTTTAGGGCTTCCCTGTGCCTCCTTTAATAAAAAAATCATCATAATAATGATGTCAAATGGTAGTAGCAATAATCATAGTAGTACCAATAATCCTAATATTTTTAATAATAATAATAATAATAGTAATTAGGCGTCCTTTGAAAGCTCCGTTTTTCTCAGCACGACCCTGGTGTGACTGCTGCGAGTCGCTCAAAAGCTAGGGGGTTCCTTGATTTAAGGTGTTCGGGTTTAGGGTTTTAGGGCTTTTAGGGTTTTAGGGTTTTAGGGTTTTAGGGTTTTAGGGTTTAGGGTCTAGGGTTTTAGGGTTTAGGGTTTATAAGGGTTTAGGGTTTACTATACGGATTCCATCGCGGTGTGGGGTCAAGGGTTGAGGGCTGTAGAGGCTCTGGCTGAGGGGTCAGGGTCTCAGGATGATGGCTTTGGGTTGAGGGTTTAGGGTTTAGAGTTTTTTTGAAAGTGCAATAGCCTCTTTCTCCTCCGGGTTTAGGGTTTAGGGTTTGGGGTTTAGGGTTAAAGAGTTTATTTAAGGTTGAAACCATGGGCTTAGGGTTTAGGGTTTAGGACCCTTAACCCTATAAGGGTCCCTGGAACCCCCCTAGAAGGCGTAAGGGTCCATACTAGGGGCCCCTACTTCTAACCTTAGGGCTTAGCTTCAGGGTGACCGGGATCTTCGGGTCTTCGGGCAAGTGGACCTGCAGCTGCAAAGTTGGGGAGTCACTATTCTTATGCAAGTGAGGTACAGCAAACGGAGGAACATCACAAATCATTCTCAGCCCATGTCCCAACTTCATGAAATTCTATTCTAGACCCGCTCCAGATCTAAAGACCCCGGCTTCGCAGATTTGACACGAATTCGCTTCTCAAGCCCTGGTGCTGGTGAAAAGATTCCTGAAGCTAGACTGCCGCATTAGTTCTCAAAAGGAGGCGACTTGGATATAAGCTCAAAGCGCAGCAAAGCCACTGGAAAACCTCCGCGGGTTGTGCACATCGACCTTGAAACGAATCTCTGATGCGGCAGCGGCTGGGAGTTCACACTCGGAAGATGAAGTCTCCACGCTGCAGGACTTCCCTTATCAAAACTCCCCGATACAGCATAAGATGGAGGTCTGACGATATCTAGTTAGTAGAAGTACTCTCAGAAATTCCCCATAATACTATACTAGAATATACACCCGAACCCTATGTAAATAAGTATCCTGCCCCGCTAGAGCATATCTCTACGTCGAGCTGCACAGTCTTTCGCGTCGGTGCCATTCTCCCCCACTAAGAAGATGGGCCGCTGGTGGGGCGGAACCCGGGCTCTCTCCTGACACGCCGTCGGAGAAACCCTAAACCCAAAGTTTAGGGTTTAGGGTTTAGGGTGAACCTCTAAACCCTAACCCCTAAACCCTATAACCCCTAAACCCTAACCCCTAAACTCTAAACCCTAAACCCGAAAAACTAGAGCGGAACAGAAGGGGAGCCGACAAGCAGACTTGGCACCTTCCTGGCTTCTGAGGATCTTCTTGGGCTGTATTCAGGGTTCACCGTTTAGGGTCCACTGTCTTCCATATCTATATATATATATATGTATACATATCTATATAAAGGTGTATATATATACATATATATATATGCATACTACACGGGCGGATGTGTCTGCCAAAGAGGATGAACATCTAGAAGATTTGAGTTGGAAGGCCGGGTGAGGGGTAAACAAACAAGAGTTTGCGACTGAGATGTTCAAAGCTAAACCACGATCCCCTATGCCAGCATGGAGCCAATCATGAAGACGCTGCCGAAGCAGCAGCAGTAGCAATAGCAATACCAACCGAGATAATAGCAAGCAGTGCAAACTATGATCGTATATCCTTAGCCTGAAGATGGGTAGTTATCAAAATTATGGTCCCTTTTTCGGTAGCCTAAATATTAGGTGCCGTACTATA